GCAGCAGCAGCCTGCAGTAAACCATGTAAAGTACCACAACGTACCAAATGGTTCCAGAAACTGGTACAGCTTCTCTCCTATGGAGATGGCTTCAGAGTACTGTCGCATGTGATAGTGGATGATGGCTTGATTATAGTACAGCAAACTGTTCTCGACGTCGTCCAGCCCATCGACGTCCTCTGCTGATGTGTGCACCTGAAGACAGAGACGGGATCATTGATGAAACCAAAAGACCTCATGAGGAAGCAAAGGCTGGTGTTTGTCAGGAGCTGTCACTGAAAACAAATTCAACATGAGAAAAACATGACCCACATTTCAGTAGTTACCTGGTTCTTCATTGCCATGAGTGTCTGCTTCAGAGTCCCTGTGGTGGTCTGACCACTTTTATAAAACTCCACCACAGCTTTGTTCATGGCGATCTTGTAGTCCTCTTTGTTGAGCTCCTGCAGTGTTTCTAGGTTTTTGAGAGACTCGTCGTACTTCCCAGCCTGTGAGGAACAGACGCCGTCATTTGCGGCATGAGAATTTCTCCTTGTGCTAATGTTGACACGTTTCACACTTCACAACAAGCTCCAGACTTACAACTCATTAATTTGCTTCTGACAGTCCTGTAGTAGCTGCACATTTATCCACAATTCATGAGTGAAAGTCATAACTGCAACACGTCATTATTACTGATCTACAAGGTGTCAACGTCACAGATTTTGTCATACTGTTACACTAGGTGTATTAGAGCAGTGTGGGCAATGGTGTAAATTAATAAGCAGGACTTTGTCAGTATTTTAATTTATCAGGTATTTAACTTCCTGTTGAATTCCTGTTTGGTTATTTAATCCATAACAAGCTTTTCAAATGATTTTCTGGAACATTGGTCTGATTTATATTCATGTTACAATATGAATCTACATATACTGCGAAAGAGGAGTTTATTCATATTGCAAAACTCTGATCCACTAATGCACTACATAAACAGCCACAAGCACCGCACACACACATGAAGCATCCTGATTAGGGATGTCATCAGGATTTTCTGGACCTGATCCAGATCTGACTCCTTTAAAATCTGGTCTTTGCTGATATGACCCTTATTACTTATTTAACAGCTGTAGCTACTGAATCTGACACACTTTCTTTTTCATGATTTATTCTAAATACCTGAGGTCATGGCCCAAACTAATTCAGCTGATCAGCTTAAACTATTGAATGAGTTGAATCAAAGTTAAACTAAAAGAGATTATGACTCTAAGATCAATGTGACACCAAAAGACCAGAGAGAAGATGCTTCACTATGTTGAATTTGTGTTACAGAGTGGAGGTTCTTCCCTCATAAAAGATCTTTGACTGAGTCAGAAAGTGTTTCCCTTCTGTTAGAGCAGTGTTTCCAGCAGTGCCTCACTCTGCAGCTGGATAAGGGCTTGGGTTGGGTTATGGTCGGGTTATGGTCGGGTTATGGTCGGGTTATGGTCGGGTTATGGTCGGGTTATGGTCGGGTTATGGTCGGGTTATGGTCGGGTTATGGTCGGGTTATGGTCAGGTTATGGTCGGGTTACGGGGGTAGCAGAGATGACTGGTTAGAGGAGGGATAAGGTTCAGGTTCAGGTTCAGGTAAAGGAAACAGTTTTCAACATGCTGAGAGCACATTAACCAGACAACAGACAAGGTTATTTCTATTCTGACATCTACTGAAAGAATTAAAATTATTTGCATTTACATGAACTTAAGTCACCAGGTTACAGTCAGCCGTCTCCAGTAAACTGATTTCTTAAATGTAATGTAAACAAGAAACCTGGTTTCTATAAACGGTGTAGTGGGTTACAAAACCAGATTTCCCCAGGTAGACTTCTCCTATGGGATCCTGATTTCCCTGTCATGTTTACACATAATCTGATTGTGAAAAAGTGCACATGTGCATGACAAAAGACTGGAAAGTAAAATCACACAGTGGCTGGATGAAAGGAGACATCGTTAATCAGGATTTACCGAAAATGCTTCATATGCACTCGCTGCCATTTCCTTCTCTTGGTCTGTCATTCCAGGCGACGATGAGCTGTCATGCTTCGCCTCGTTTTGTTCTGATCAAAATGAAAGAGAGAAAACAGTCAAACTTACATAACAGTGGTCTCCAACCAAGGTTAAAAATGCAGTGGGAATGAGCGATGTTAACGAACTGCACTGACACTCAGTGATCACTTTATTAGGAACACCACACTAACACAGGGTAGTTCCTCAGTCCGTCAAGTCAGGGCCTCTGCTCCATGTTGACATGATGCATCACATAATCTCTCCAGATTTCTCAGTTGCACATTCAAGATGCCAATCTCCTGTTCTACCACAGCCACATCTACTGGATCGAGATCTGGAGATGGGGTGGGGGTCACTGAAGTTCACTGAACTCACTGTCATGTTGATGAAACCAGTTTGAGACGACTTTAGACATGGAGCAGTATCCTGCTGGAAGTAGCCAACAGAAGATAGTGAACTGTGGCCATAAAGACATGAACATGGTCAGCAACAGATAGTGATGTGTGAGGATGACCTACATACTGTGAGAAGATATGTGTGTGTGCCCTCCGTCACAGACGCAATACTGTGGTAGCTCTCACTTTAACATCTCAGGCTGTATTTGAACAGTGCGTAATGAGGCCCAATTTGTGCAAGAAAACATTCCCCACACAATTACACCTACAATAGCAGCCTGGACTGTTGACACAAGGCAGGCTGGGTCCATGGACTCATGTCATATTTACACCAAATTCAGACCTGATCACCTGCATGTCATGGCATAAATCCAGATCCATCAGACAAGGTCTTCAACTGTGTAGTGTTGGCAAGTCTGTGTCCACTGCAGCCTCGGCTTTCTGTTCTTGGTGACAGGAGTGGAACCAGCTCTGCTCCACTTTACGGTTTTACAGGCTGTGCATCACCACTGGTTATCCGAGTCACTGATTCCTTCCTGTCAGCTTGAACCAGTATCTGTCCATTCTCCCGGCTTCCACCAACAAGAAGGTATTTTGTCGACAGAGCTCTGTTGTGGTGCAAATCCCAGAGCGGCAGTTTATGAGACTCTTAACGACCGTCTGCAAACATCATGCCTCAGTCACACCAATTCTGATGTTTTGTCTCAACAACAACTGACCCAGTTTACCATAGAACCACTTAGATATTTGCGTTAAGAAACAGACGTACAGGTGTACCTGTGATAAAGTGGCCACGTCGTGTGTGTGTACATGACATCGATCATCTCAAAAAAAGACGTTTTATTGCCTCTGACACATAAAAAAAATCCTTCATAAATCACGTTAACTTTACAAGATCTTCCAGGCACCTCTTCAGCTAAACCAGTGTATCAGGCTAACGGAGAGCGGGGCTAACGCTAACTGTTCGTTACTCTATTGACAGGTGTCTGTGGGATTACAGTTAAATTTATGGAGATGGCGTTAAAGCCAGAGGTCTCCGGGCATATTTTAGTCGTTTATGTCCTGATAGGGTTAAAAGTGCTGTAGGGAAGACACTAAAATATGACGTTTCTGAATGAAGTTTCGTCTGAACGTGTCTTCAGCCAACACGCATCTTGGCTAAGCTAACGTCAACTGGAACGGGTGTTGTGAGCCGGGTCCCCAGGGTGTTTAGGATACAGAGAAACTGGTTAACGAAGAGCTGCTCATGGTGGAAGTGTTGGGTTAACTGCAGTAAACAGCACATCTGTTCACGGAGGAACAACTAGCTCTAACTGACCACTGCTAGCTACCCAGCTAGCGTTAGCTGACACACTCACCTGCGTTTTCTGCCATTTCTGGGGTCTTTTGATGGTCAGTTAGAAACCCTGTGTTTGTAGTTAGGAGTAGATTAGATTAAAATCCGTTGGTCGGCAGAAGAAACGTTAGAATTATAGCTGAATACTAAATTTCCAGTGTTTCACACTGAAGATATTGTAGCCGAAATCCGTCTGGTCCGCTCTAAACAGATTCTTCTTCGCTGGTTTGTGACGTCTTCTTCGTCTTCTTTTACGGCGGTTAGCAGCCATGTTATTGGTGCATTACCGCCACCTTCTGCTCCGGAGTGTGGGTCAAACCACCCACCCACACACACACACACACACACACACGCACACACACACACACACACACACACACACACACACACACACACACACACACACACACACACACACACAACTTAGAGTAAGGTTAAACTACACATGATCATTAACTTTTATAACTTCACTTTTTGAGTTGAAACAAAGCTCATCCTCACTCTGAGTTTACTCACATTTTGAAGGCAGCGATTGAAGTTAGGTTTTTAATTCAACCACATGGATTACTTTTACAGTGTAACAGTACTCTGACCTGTGTTCAGGAAATTCCTGGAACCCTCAGATTATTCCTCATCACCTCTCTGCGTCCTCCACTGACTCCTGTTGGTGACAGTTTGTTATAACACTGTCTGATGATCAGCCTCTAAACCCTGACCCTCTCCCTAACATCCTCATCCTCCTCCCATCATCTACTGAAGTGTGCTGTTCTTTTCTATTGAACTTGCTCACTGCCCATACAGAAATGTAATATATGACATATATGTCCCTATATCAAGAGTGATGTTGTTATATATGTCACCTATAAGGAGATATATTATTATCACATGTATACATCCTCTGGATATCTGAAGGTATAACTTTAACACATATAGGCTTTGGGATCGGATCACCTGAGGGGTGTGTGTGTGTGTGTGTGTGTGTGTGTGTGTGTGTGTGTGTGTGTGTGTGTGTGTGTGTGTGTGTGTGTGTCTGTGTTTGTGAAGCCTATCTAAAGATAACCCACAGACTCCACTGTTGTAACTACAGTCTCTCTGCTGCTCCCTCCTGCTTCTTTGGCAGAGCTGCTGAGTGTAACTTTACACCCACAAATAAACCATGGTGAGCAGAGTTATTGACACCTGTGGGTGGTGGTGTTGCTTTGGAGTGGGGCGGGGGGAGGGGACTGACAGATGGAAAAGGTGGAAGTGAAAGTGTTACCGTTACACAGATTGTCACTCAGCGGTCAGAGATGGACAAGTTTAAGACGGTTCTGAACATCGCCAACAAACAGACCAACCTGGGCTTCGGGCTGGTGGCGCTGCTGACAGCTGGGGGGGAGCAGATCTTCTCCTCCGCGGTGTTCAAGTGTCCCTGCAATGAGATGAACTTTCTGTACGGGATGGTCTTCCTGCTGGTGCCCGCTCTTGCTCTGCTGCTGCTGGGTTACATCCTGAGTAAGAAGACCTGGAAGCTCCTGACGGGTCTGTGCCAGCGCAGGGCCGAGCTGTGCCGCTGGAAGACGCTGGTCGCCACCGGGGTGGCCCTCTTCCAGATCAGCACCACGGCGCTGGTGGCGCCCTCCAGCTGGATTGCTGTGGCTCTGCTCAACGGGGAGTACTTCCAGTGTCTGATGACCGGAACCAACGCGAGCGTGTTAAACGCGCACCTGTGTGCGGATAAGAGCTCCCAGGCCCACTGTGAGATGTACGTGTACAGGCTCCCCTGTGGCACAGTCGGCAGTGTCCCGCAGGCTGACAGGGAGGATGTCCTGATCAAACTCAGAGCCGAGTCTCAGGTCAGTGCTGATCTGCTCCAGCAGGACCAACTGTACTCATAGAAAATGTTTCTGCCCTCTGATGAATTCAGCAAAGCACAACATTAGAGGATAAGACAAAATAACATGAGATAAGATAAGACAAGATAAGATGAGATAAGACAAAATAAGATGAGATAAGATAAGACAAGATAAGATGAGATAAGATAAGACAAGATAAGATGAGATAAGACAAAATAACATGAGATAAGATAAGACAAGATAAGATGAGATAAGAAAAGATAGGATGAGACAAGACAATATAAGATGAGATGAGATAAGGCAGGACAAGACAAAATAAGAAAAGACAAGATCAGATGAGATCAGATGAGACAAGATAAGATAAGATGAGGTTAGATGAGATGATTTGCAGTCTTACAGCAGCAATGTGGACAAAAGAAATGCAAAATGAAAATGTCTAATACTAAAAATGAGTAATACACAGTTGGTGTGTGTTAGTTATTGTGCTGAGTTTGTCAGTTTCTGCTGTGTGTGGTGTGTGTGGTCTACTGAGGGCAGTTATAAAGTCATACTGTAGTATTTATAATAATGTGTCAGACATGTATTATAGCTTCATTGTCTTAAGGCAACTGACAGTGTGATAGCACATATAGAATAAAAAACATGGTGTGAAGCGTGAACAGCATCATGGTGATGTGACGGAGCAGATCCAACTCCGCCCGCTGCATCAAGTAAATCATTTTAAAAAATCTGAAATAAACAACAATATAATGATGATGACATCTGTTCATCTGTAATATTCAGATTCAGGGTGTGAAGGGTTTTTTTTCTGTGTGTAACTTTCAATTTTCAGCTTCATTCATTTTATTAATATGACGTGCTTCTGTTGTGTTTTTAAAAGGTTTCTGAACTTTGAACAACACGTTCACCTTCAACATCTGCCCTCTTTGTTTTTTGTGCATGGAAGGTCACCACACGTGATTCATTTTACCTTGTAATGTGACAAATATCTCGGTGTTTAAAATGACTCCTCTATCTATCTGTGTGTTCATGGCGACCGCAGATTCTGGGCTGGCTGCTCATCGCCTTCATCATGCTGTCCAACCTGATGGTGACCTGTCTGGCTCGGTGCGCCTCCCCCATCAGCTACCTGCAGCTCAAGTTCTGGAGGGCGTACGCTCAGGAGGAGAACGACCTGATTAATTCATTCACAGCTAAACACGCCAAACAGCTGGCTGAGAGGAACCTAAAGAGTTTCTTCAACCAGACACCCCCTGAACCCCTCACCACCCCGTCCAACAAGGACTGGGAGAAGATTTCCTCCCTCTACAAGTTCAGCACCAGAGACCAGTACTACAGCACCCTGCACCGGTACGTGGAGAACTGCCAGGAGACCGACAGCAGGATGATGAGGATGTCTTCAGCCACGTCAGGCGAGGCGACAAACACCCCAGCTGTTCTTGATTTTGTAGACGACGCCAGGATAGCACTGTGAGGTGGTGTTAGGGTCAGACCGGGTCTGGCTCTGAGGAGTTCATCCAGAGATTAAAACTTGTGGTTTGTGTGGGCCTCAGGATTCACCTCATGTTTTGCTTTTAAAGGAGAATGCATTAGCTAAAGTATGAAGCAGAGTATGTCATTCTCATGTTGTTTGAGCAGTCCTAAACAGGAAATATATTGGGTGTAAGAGCCAACCACTTCCTCTGCACTGGTGGTAGACTGCACACATACATGCACACATTCAGCCTATGAGCATCAGCCATGAAAAGAATATATTTCCTCTGTTCACAGCAAACTGATGTCTCTTGATTCAACTCTGTACCATCTGTGGTCCACTTTCCAATTTTAAAATGAACTCAAATAAACGTGACTTGATTTGACCGATGGTGTTGGTGCAAAAAAGATGATGATGTGTCTCATGTGTGCAGAGGATGTTTTGCAACTCTCTGTATGGTGCATTCGGAGCGTTTTAGTCTCAGCGATTGGTCTTATGGGAATGGGACAGTGAAACCACAAAGAGGATGTGGGAACTTCCCCAATCCACTGACTCTGGCTCTCTGTCTCTGCAACGCGCTGTTCTCCATAGGAATGTGACAATAGAGGGAATGAAAGCTCTCATTCTGCATGTATGGTATGTTTATTTCCTCTTTGTCACTCCGGGTGACAGTGGTTATTGAATGCATGCTGCTGACATGCGGGGAAGAAAATCAAATCAAATCATTTCCGACTGCTTGAACAGAAACAGGAGGACGACTCTGTTTCAGTTCCTGTGGTGTGTTTTTGTTTGTTGTTTCACGCTGTATCCCAGGTCACATCACCGCTGATAGACTCAGACCGGTGTTCATAAGAAGCAGACCAGCCTCGGCACTGTTAGAGCCGGGGAGGGAAGCACATGAAGAGGGATGTAAACGTGAAGAGAAAAAAGGAAGGCGCGTGAAGAAGAAGTCACCTCCCCGCTGTAGAGGCTGAATCTTTCCTCTCAGCGGCAGCACAGCAGCAGGGACTTTCCTCTGGAGAAGAGTAGATGTGGTGAAGGAGGAGGCGTCACAGTGACTGAAGGAGGAGCCTGGACAACAGAGAGTCAGACAGAGGGAGGAGCACAAACAGGCTTGGCAGCTGTGTGTTTTTTTTTTTTTCTTCAGCAGTGAAACAGCAGCGGGAAGGGAGTGACTGCCGGCTGCACAGACACTCAGCTTTCTGTTGTCGTCTTTCTCCTGAGTTCATTTTTCTCGCACAGAGCGTCCTCACTCACACCATGGATAACTTCCAGACCATCCTGCGTTTCTTCATGAACCAGAAAGCCACCATTGGCTACAGCTTCATGGCTCTGCTGACTATAGGCGGGGAGCGAATCTTCTCCATGGTCTCCTTTCAGTGTCCCTGCAACCACGACCAGAACTTCCCCTACGGGCTGACCTTCCTGCTGGGCCCGGCTGCGGTGCTGTTGGTCTTGGGTCTGTTCTTCAGCACCAGGATGTGGAGGCTCTACACAGGCTGCTGCCTCGACCCCATGAAGCTCTGCCCCCGTGGGAACTGCTTCGGCTGCCTCAGGGTGTTCACGAGCATCTTCTCTGGGGCCTGCGTGGCCCCTATAATGTGGCTCTCTGTGGCCCTGCTCAACGGGACCTTCTATGAGTGTGCCGTCAGCGGCCTGGATGATAACGTGGTGGTGGATCTGTTCTGTAAAAACAAGACCTTGAGGTGTCGGGAGGAGCTGGCCCGGGTTCCCTGCGACCGATCCAAGCTGTCCAGTGAGGAGCGCATGGAGCTGCTGCTGATGCTCAGGGCCCAGTCACAGGTGAGACACACACCTGAGGATGAGACTTGTCCTGTGAAAACACAATAACTCTGATGATGTCACAGTGATGTCATGAGGGTTATCATCTTGGGGGGACTACAGATGAACACAAAGTCTGTGTTACAAATAGTAGGTTATGGAGTTCAAACAATGAGGGTGTTTACCAGGCGGGGAGGATCTAATGAAAGATTCCATTCAGATGCATTACGGGAAATGTAGGATCCAGTCTTTTCTGAGTTTGACTAAAAGTCCAGACATGTCAGCCTCTGATGCATCAGGTTTGATTTTAACTTTACTGTGATGCAACACTAAAAGCTCCTGGAGCCACAGGTGTGAACAGCTGAACTGACTGAGAGTCTGAGCGTCAGGTCTAAACCCAGTCTGCATCTGATGTGATGCGTCCCCGCTCTCAACTGTCCTGTGAGTGAGGGGGAGGACAGCTGTGCGGATGTTCACTGAATGGATCAACTAAACTCTGCTCCAGTTTAAAGTGACTAAACCAGTGCATTCTTTGACTGAGTGATTCTCCAGTGAGAGACAGATTAAGCACCATCTCTTCCCCCTCCTGTCCTCAGCTCTCTACTGTCCACATTATAAACCTCGTTACCTCGTTACCTCGTTAACCTTGTTAGATCCTCCGTGTCTGGTGAATCCCCACATCTTCCAAATAACCGCACCCCTGATGACATCACCATGACATCATCATTAGGGTATGAAACAAGGGCAAACCGACTCAAGAGAACTTCTACATGGTTGTTATTCAGAATCAGATATCACAGTCCTCATCATTTAAACCTTTAAACCTGAATTAATACAAAGCAATTCAAGGATTTTCTTAATTAGTTATCAGTTCTCACAGATATAATATAGTATTTTTTAAATAGATTTAATAATGTACATGTTTTCTCCTCTGAGATACTCCATTCAACCACCACTAAAGTGTGTGTTTTCATGATGATCATGAGATAAAGTGAGTTGTCAAATACAGATGAGATTTAAAGCCCAGAGAGCCCGAGAGAAAAAGCGAGTAAGTGGACCTTGAGTTAGGATTGTTGTGTTATTGTCAGAGCTTTTACAATCCTGGAAAAACATTTCAAATCAGTGGTTTTTGGGGGATTACTTATTTAAAAATGGTCAAGTCTTAATATAATTTACAATTATACTACAATTACATACTATCAGTATTTATTTAAATATACTGTATGTATTTCCTTCAGTCATCAGTTGATGTCATTGTTGTGTGCCTGCAGATCCTGGGCTGGTGCATCATCATCCTCTCCGCCATCGTTGGCCTCCTGGGAACCTGCTACCAGAACTGCCGCTCCAAAGTCAGCTACCTGCAGCTCACCTTCTGGAAACGCTACGTGGAGAAGGAGAAGGAGAGCTTCGACACCTTCGCTGTGGACTACGCCACCAAGCTGGCCGAGAGAAACCTGAGGAGCTTCTTCGAGAACAAGGACCCCGCCCCGTTTCCTTTCCCCAACCACATGGCATGGGAGGAGATCTCTGCGTACTACACCTTCTCCAGGAGCGAGCAGTACTACAGCACCCTGCAGCGCTACGTGGAGAAGACGGACAGGGACTTCACGCCAGAGAAGAGGCCGGTCCTGGAGTTTGAGGATGGAATAGAGATGAGCTAGTGGAGGAGAGTGCGGTCTGCTCGCCATTTTATTGGTAAATGCAGAAACTGGATTGGAGAGAGCGGGCGATCCTCATCACTGTTAGTAAGGGCTAATGTATGTGCATGTTTGACTGAGGAGAAGCCCAGGCTGCCTCCTCTCTGACAAAGCTAACCTCAGTATGTTAACTGCAATGGTACGACCCTTTAAGCACATGAGACAATAAAGGACATAACCACTGTTTTATACTAATGCTCTCTACCTCTGTAGCACAGGTGCATCGTCCGTCTTCCATTAACGTGGCGTCTGAATGTTTTACATACTTTGGATTTACAAGAAAACATATTAACAAATTTCCAGTAACTTTAAGAAAATGCATTCAGGGCCGTGGCTGCGGGTGGAGACACTGAGGTCATGTCCTCAGTGTTATTTCTATTCAATTCAATTCAATTTTAGTTGTATACTACGGTGGCCCTGAGAGCTCAGTGCGCTGCGATGGAAGTGTTTCTGGGGGGCACAAGCAGTGGGGGGGGGGGTCACCAGGTAGAGTGCGTACCATCTCTCTCTCTCTCTCTATCAGAATTAAGGCAAAATGATGGGGGGGCTCACCAGGTAGAGTGCGTACCATCTCTCTCTCTCTCTCTATCAGAATTAAGGCAAAATGATTACTTAAAAAGAAAAAAAGTGATGAACCAGGCTGGGACGCAAATGTTGTTCAATGCTTTTAAATCTAAAGTCACAAAGAACTGAACAAGTCTCAACGAGCCAGGTTCATCGCCTAGAAACACTTCCGTTGATGAAGATGTTTTCTGGAGTTGTTTGTGTTTTGTGTGTTTGCATGTGTTTTCTTAAGTTGCAGTGTGTTGAGCTCTCAGGGCCACCGTAGTGTCAAATCATAACATACATATCTCAAGTTAAATTACAGAGAAGGTCAAGACCTCACAAGCACCTGGTGACAGTGGAGGGAAAAACTGGAAGAAACCTCTAACAGAACCAGAACCAGACACAGGGTGGGGGTCTGGACCACAGTTGCCGGTCTAGGGCCAGCTGCTGTTTCATAGGGGCCAGTTAAATCAGCGCTGCAGTGAGTGGTTCAGACAGGTCATCCAAATAAAGACAGTGTCAGTGTCAATCAAATACACCACTCTCATCGATATACATATAAAAACAGCCTATGAGTCCTACAGTATTAGAGTTCAGTCCTCCTCATGCTGCACAGCTAAACGAGGATGAACTCTCACAAGCAACCAGCAGAGCTGAGCTCCTGCACAGGTGAAAAACCAACGAATGAAAAACTGGGGAACTTCCAGTTTAGTCAGGAATGTGAATGTGTCCTGGGCCACACTGACGGACCGATTAATCTACTGACGTCCTCTGTCACAGTCTGATTCTGAAAATATCTAGAATAGAATTTGAAAATATTTTACTATTTCAAATGATTGAAACCGAAACCTTATTTCACTGTAGAGCTGTGAGCAGAGCATTGATTCACTCAACCCTTCCTTACCTCTCTCGCTCTCTCTCTCTCACACACACACACACACACACACACACACACACACACACACACACACACACACACACACACACACACACACACAACAACACACACACACACACACACACACACAAAAACAGTGACACCAACAAAGCATACAAGTTTATTAGAGACTGTCCTCCTGTAAGAAACAGGTCCATAGGTCGTTATTATGACCCGTACGTATTGTTGCTAGGCAACATCTAGTGGTTGTAGTAGTTATGACAGGATCAAAGGGAAAAGCGCAGTGATGTAGTATAAAGAGAGACAAAGTCCACGTCAGGAGGAGGCTGTGGTGGATGGATGAATATGGCACAGGAGAGCGGTGATCGATTCCCATGAGAAACCAGCAGTTTATGTTGTTTCTTTTATACATGAGTGTTCAGCAAAGTTAACCATGTCATTATTATTGTAACCATGACGACAGAGATCGTCTGATGTTGAGGAAGTACTTACTTTAACCAAAATCATGATCTTTTCCTAAACCTAACCAAATAGTTTTAGTGCCTAAACCTCTCGGTACAGTCGTGTGTTTATTATGGTAACCATGACAATAAAAGTCCGTTACGCCTGTCACCTTAGGGGCGCAACACTGACAAACAAGCCAACTCTCCCCGTTATTTCATTTAAATGTCAACTTTCCGGTGTTTGTTGTGAGTTCAGAGTGTGACTGTTCATTCACAGTTACATGACACACGACAGTCACCACATCAGGCTGCTGGATATATATTAGTTAATAATCAAATGAGGCTAACGTCACCTTCCCCTCTCACTGCAGATGTTGCAGTTCCCTGTTTGACCACACTCAGTGTCAGACATTCAACAGCAGTTACGAATTAGAGTGGTGCTGTTTCACACATCGGTCAGAAAACGATAGGAAACAGGAACCACTGCGTTTTTTGAGGACCACAAAGAGGTCAAGATTTGGTGCGACAGGTTCAGCCCCCCAGCCCTGACCCCCTGATGTACCCCACAACTTCAGGAATGTTCATTCTACAATTTATGAAACCTAAAATCAAACACAGCAAGCATAAAAGAATAATACACTAAACAAATAAAATATGAAAGATATTTTCATATTCCGGATTTGTTTACTCTACTGTTTTTGGTGCTTTGGGGGAATTTGACCTGAAGATCCTGCTACGGCCCTGGTTTCATTTTTGATGAATAATTAATCTCTAAGATGAAAACGTGAATGAAATGAAAACATTAAACTGTTAGACTGCATCCAGTGTCTCCTGTTTTTGTGTAATGTGTGAGAATGAAGGTTATGTCTTTTTAAAGCCAGCCAGTGTAAACAAATATGATATACTGATCACCTGGATTGTCATGTTTGACAAAGAAGGAAGTGTTTCTTCTTCTGTTCTTACAGTGATCCATGTAATTACCTTCCTGAAAGGTGAGCAGTCTTTCAACATTCCACCTTGTCTGATCCGCAGGTAAAGACACGTGAGCGTGATGCCCAGACTTGTTAGAATAGAAACATTAGTTTTCATCAGCAGTGTGCTGATTATAAAGTTGTACATACTGAGATCAAAAGCAACATTTCAATGCATTTAGCTCCAAACAATATGGTGTGAATTTTTTATACCAGATTTACAGCAATATTTATGAACTTTGTCATATTTACTTTTCTTCAACAGAAAATATATAAATAATACTAATGTAATGTTTATATTAAATTGAAATGTTAAATCTAAATGTTAGATATTAAATCAAATGTTAAATCTAAATGTAAATGTTGGATCATAAATCTAAATGTTAAATATTAAATTGAATGTTAAATCTAAATGTTGGTAAAACTAAATATTTAAATAAACAGAAGTATTTAAGTCAAACAGAAGTACCACAATAAAAGCTTGATCCAGCACCATCCACTATCAATGCAGACTCTAAGCTCCACTCCATTCAAAAGTTTCCCTCTGTGCACCTGCAGACCCAGACAAGCTGGAGGAGAAGCACTGAATACAGGACAGATACATACAGTTGTAGTGTCAATAGGTTCAAACTGCAGCAGCTCCCCCACATCAAAAAGTACACTAATAACTACAGTGTCAGACCACAAAGTCAGAATCACCAGGAATCGCTGATCGACATCGACTAAGTGTGACACCTGGGGACCGATCACAGCGGCCAGGCAGTGGAAGAACTGACAGACAGGAAACATCTGGTTTGTATTAATGATGCAGAAATACAAGAACAGATGTGAATGCTGGTGAGGAATCTGCTCCAGATGTGACACCAGTGACCAGAGTAAAATAAATATAGCAACGATACAGAGGGAGAAAGCTAACTGGGAAAATGTCCTGGGTGAGTGTGATGAACATCTTCGTCAGATTAGTGACAACATATAAACACAGAGATGATTAACTGTAAAATGAGGCAGGGTGCAGTATCAGCTGCACTAAAAGCACAGGAAGGGAAACACTTGGTGGGATGATAGGTGTAAACAAGCAGTAAAGAGTGGAAACAAAGGAGTCAAACTGATCATGGAGAATATAAACATGGAAATCAAACAGCAGGTCTAGTCCAGGATTATTACAGATATATTGAGAAGAATAGTTGATAATAAACAGCTTTTCATAGACTGTCAAGTTATTTACAGTGTTAGTGTTAGAGTGGGTCTATATTAGAGCCAGCCGTCACCAAAACCTGTATATGAACTACTGTTTACTAATTCAAGGTTAGCTAGTCAGGGGAAAACATAACGCCCATGTGGGTACCAGCACTGTGGAATCCTGGGAAAAGAGGAAGCAGATAAGTTAGTGAAGGAGGCGGTCAGAAGAAATTAGGAAATAATTCAACAGTAGCAGCAGTACTGGGGCGGAGCATCAAAAGGAAGACACTAACATGAAATACAGAATAAAGTAGGAGTGGTGAGGGATGAAGGAACCAACAGAAAGGATTAAGGGCTGGTGACAGCAAACATTAAACATTAAAACAATTTTAACTCAAAAACTGTTCTTATTTTTTAAGAATTAAAAAACCATTGATTTCTTCTTTGTTAATATTTTTATTTAGATCATCCCTATGCTCTAATGTGATCTGTATTAATGACTTCTTTATTTGTGTGTGAGTGTTTTGTCTGTATCAGTGATTTCTCTGTTCTATGCAAGTTGTTAATAAGAAAAAAAGCAAAACCTTACTAAGACACTCTCTGCTGGTTTTTATTTTCATTTGTCACCTGTCTGCAACACAATAAATTATAAACAAATTTAATATATGTACATACATTGAATTTCTATTTATTAAATATATCTACATATAAAATAAAGATATATGTAAAAAAAAAAAAAAACTATTAGAAATTTGAATTGACATATATGTATAGCCTATACAAACATATATGCTATATACAGGCTATATGTATGCTTATAAGACATATGTTACATAAATATATATCCATCCCAAAGCCTTTCAATATATGTTGATATATATACAGCAGGGTCCAAGAGTCTGAGACCACTTTCCCAGAATGTGAAGATAGACATGTTTAAAATTAATGAAAAATGAATAAGAAACACATACAGTATATAAACATATAGATTTTTTGTGTATGTATGTACACATTTAATATTTAAATTTGCATATATAAATTAAATATATATCATTAACATATACAGTCACAACTTGTTATACCACATAAAGATTCATCATAGTTATTTCTAATATATGTACATATACACATTTTAAATGGGTATTTCAATATATGTCAAACACTTATATGTAACTTATATGATATATAAGTAATAATAATATATATCCTTACAGTTATCATATATGGCAACATCACTCTTGATATAGGGACATACATATGTCAAATATTAAATTTCTGTATGGGTGCAGTGGACAATTAGAACCAGAGGGGGGCAGTAATGTGACGCCATGGACGTCAACTGCCGTAAAACCCCCTAGAAGAAGACGAAGAAGAAGAAGCGGACCGTGTGTGCACAGTGTGTGTGTTAGCCTAGCTTAGCGGGATGATCTTTCTAACTTCCAGATAACCTGCAGCCTCACCACCATGACAGACTACGCCGAAGAGCAGAGAAATGAACTGGAGGCGATAGAGTCCATCTACCCGGACTCCTTCACAGGTCTGAACCTCAGCAGGGTGGGGGGCAGGAGGGAGAGGGCAGCTAGCTCCCAGGCTAACAGTTAACTCTACAGAGGAGCTGTAATTCTGCATATACTGAAGAACATATGACACGGACAGGTTCATGAAAGAGGGGCTGCTCCGTTATAAGATATATGTAAATATATGTATCAAGTAGGATCCATCGGCTGAGCCTCAGACTTCAGTAAACTGTAGCCGCACAGTCAGTGAAACATAGTGAGTCATGTGTAGCTGTTCTTGTCCTCAGAGCAGAGCAGTGTCTGTGCTGACAGCTTGGTGAACACGGACTCAGATCCACTATGGAGGACTGAGGCAGACCTGTTCGTGGACTCACTGACTCCTGTGTGTTTTCAGTGCTTTCAGATGAACCCACCAGCTTCACCATCACTGTCACATCAGATGCAGGAGAACATGGGGAAAGTGAGTACACTCACGTCATCCACTGCACACATGGCTGTTAAAACAAACAGTTATGAAGTGTCACTAAGTTCATAGTAATGTCATGGCTCTGATGATGAAGACTGTGATCACATGATCTGTCTGTTTTCTCGCTGCAGCTGTGGAAGCAACACTCAAGTTCACATATGTAGAGAAATACCCAGATGAGGCTCCGCTGTGGGAGATCCACTCCCAGGAGAACCTGGAGGACCAGGACGTGGAGGACATCCTCACCTTACTGCAGCAGCAGGTCTGTCCATTACAGTCTGATTTCCTTAGGCCACGTCCATTCCTGTATCTGTGCTCTGGCTCTGTTCACTGTGCTCTGATGTTTCTGTGTCGTGTGAATCACTTGTCCTGTGTTCACCTCTGAGAAAACAGTCAGAAACCAAAACTGAGAACTGAGTCTTTTTCTTGCTTCATGATGGCGTAGCCTATCTTTACATTAATGTCACAATCAGAAAAACCATATTGATCCCTGCAGGGAAATTCACTTGTTTCAAGTGATCAACACACAGTTCGAAAGAGGACGAAAATAAGTTTAAAAAAAAAAAAAAAAAAAAAAAAAGTAGTAATAATACATACTCAATAAGTGAATAGCTAATAATCATAATATTACTATTAATAATGATAATAATAAACTTAATTTGTATAGCACCTTTGATACAATAAATGTATCAAAAAGTGCTTTACAAGAAAGAAATTACACGCACCAAGTGCTTCAGATGAAAAGACAAAATGAACATAAAAACGTGTTTAAAAACATTGATGTAAAATGAAAAACATGAATGTAAAATGAGATGGAATAATAATAAAAAATAAAAATGTAGAAATAATAAATGAAATAAATAAATAATTAAAATTTTATCCCCAATTTTCCTCTGGCTGTTGCTGGGAACCTTCAATAAACCACCAGTAGATCATCTCAGGGTACTTGGAGGTCTATACTCAATAAGGGAGTTAAAATGTAGCTTGGTAAAATGTTCAAATGTGCAAAAAAATCACGTGTCGAGTGTCCCTTGATTGATGTCCCTGAAGATCATGAAGAAAGCACTGGGGTGTAGAGTGGAGGACATCACACATGGTTGCCAGGTGAGCAGAGGGTTTGTAGTATGAACAGTTCACTGTCTGGGCTGCAGGAACATTTCCCTCCCGTCCGCCTGAACCGCCTGAAAGCTGTCCATGGTAGAGACGTGATCTGGAGGATCTTCCTGTAACCATGTCTCGACCTCATATCCACTAGTTCCACCAGTGATCTCAGGTTGCCCATGACGATAGGAGGAAGATAGGCTCGTCTTCATCAGTCTCTGTTGTCCCAGCTCTCTTCCCCTGCCACCTCCTCCCTCCTCTGCATCCTCTGTGTGTCCTCCTCCAGATTTCTGCAGCAATGTCTGTTGCCCTGGTCGCCACGCCAACCGGCGTCAGCACGATCAGCTGCTCTTATGTAAACAGTGCAACTGAAGTTACTGTTCTGTGGTAGCGAAGCTGAATGAAAACGCATCAGACTACACTCACAAAAAAATTTAATTCCACAATGAAAAAACAGCAGAAGTATCTCTTCTCTCTTTCTCTAAAAAAAAAAAGATAAGTTGGAAAAATGAGGAGATGAGCAGGAGCAGCTGCAACAGGCTGCATGCACGCTTGACACAAGAGGTGGTGGAATACTGTTAGTTCTCTCCCAACATAGCTGGAGAACTAGTATGAAGAAGTCTGGCTCCACTCTGCAGTAAATAAACTCATGGCAGGTCTATCAGGAGGTGACGACATTAGCTAGCTGCTATCTGATGAAAATATACATAATGTTACTAAGCAACCATCTCCTGATCTGACACAATGTACCAGTATTATCATAAGTTCCTACATGTGTGTGTGTGGTCACTGCAGGCAGAAGAAAACCTGGGCATGGTGATGATTTTCACCCTGGTCACAGCTGTTCAGGAGAAACTCAACGAAATTGTGGATTTAATGAAAAACAGACAAGAAGAAGAGAAGAGGCGGAAAGAGAGAGAGGCAGAGGAAGCAGAGAAGGTAAGAGCTGGATAATATATAAAGCTTATTTATGTACTGTGTAAATATGTATACAGTATACATCTGTCTCTCTCAGTTCAAATCAGTTAAATTCACTAAGCTTTATTAGCATGAATGTCAGGTGAACAATGTTGCTAGTGTCAAAGATAAAACAAGTAAAATGAGCAAAAAGTCAATAGTAAAATTAAATAAATAAGTCTGTCTGACTGATCTGATCTGATCTGATCTGATCTATCTATCTATCTATCTATCTATCTATCTATCTATCTATCTATCTATCTATCTATCTATCAGGTGGCGTTCCAGGGCACTGTGGTGACCATTGAAAACTTCCTGGCATGGAAAGCCGAGTTTGAGCTGGACATGGCTGAGCTGAGGAGGAAGAAGCAGAAGGAGGAGGAGCAGGCGGGAAAACCCAAACTCACCGGTACACAAACACTTTACCGTCGAAGCTCACAACCTGCAAAGTTGATGACATCAACATATGAACTGGTGAACATGTGATCTTTTCCTCACCAGGTAAACAGCTGTTTGAAACAGACCACAACCTGGACACGTCAGACATTCAGTTCCTTGAAGACGGTAAAAGAGTGTTTCTGAATCTCAGGCTGTTAATGATGTCGTTTGTCTTTGGGTTAAAAAAATGAAAATAATTGAATCTGTTTCATTTAATTCAATTTAAATGGACAAAAGCATCAACACCTTTAATTCCATAAGTGAAATATAAGCTGGTTGGTGGTCCAGACGATGATGTTATAAGACACTGAAATTGTAGTAAAAGGTTGAAATATCAGCTGATAAATGAATCACATGTATGTTCTTTGGTATGAACATGTCTGAGAGTACAGCGGCAGATCTGAGGAGGTCTTAGTCTGACACACGCACTGCTTTCTTCTTCTGCAGCTGGAAACAACGTTGAAGTGGACGAGTCACTGTTCCAGGACATTGAGGACTTGGACTTGGATGAGGACGACCCAGACTTTGACCCTTTAGAGATGGGCAGTGATGAGGACTGAGGCAGGAGGAGGACTGAGGACTGACAGGACCGTGCTGCTCCTCTCTGGGATGCGATCGTCTGACAGACACACCCAACAGCCGTGTTCGTTTTTTAAAGACTCTTATACAAACCCAACACACCCACATACACACCCACCAGTGTCTGTTTCTATGCCTGACCCATTAAAGTGACCAGATAAATGTCTGACTTGGCTCTGGTGCTGTTTGACCTGCAGGACGTCCCAGTGACAGACTCCTCGTTCGGCCAGAAGAGGGCAGTGTAACATCAAGAATGGCCGCAGGATTCAGATGCTGAAGTTATAGCATAATTACCACAATAAATAATTATACTCACTTACCATTACAAGTACGATTACTACATTTTGTTTAGGTCAGAGAAGTAGTGACAGAAAAATGTTCCATCAAAGTTCATGATTGAAGCTTCTTCATGGAGACTGACTCGTTTATATTGTAGTTTTATTCTTGATGTTCAGGAGGAGGTTTGAACAGTTTGATTTAAAGTTCATCTGCATGTAACCATGTACATCACACTTTATAAACTCATCATGTTATTTGTTTGTAAAGTCTTCATCTGCAAAGCAGCTGGTGATTAAAGCTAAACGTAGGTGTAGTTGCCATTTCTCTTTCAAACAAATCTAAGTCTTACAAAAATCAAAAGGCCACTGATGCACCATGGGAGATGTGGTTTACGCATGCAAAAGAATGTATTGTCCAAACAAAGCCAATGTGTTTTCTTTTTGATTTATTCGTCCAAACGAACAGCAATCCAAGGAACAAAGCGATCATGTTTCCTGCTGCCTCTCCTGCTCTGGTAAAAAAAACAAAAAACATTGGCCCACCCAGGTGCATGCTGGTCCTTAACCAGTCTACCTTACTAAATAACCTCATGTGTCCACTATAGATACAGATACCAATACTAGTTAACCAAACTAACTGATGGAAAGCAAATATACAACAGTTAGTTCCGATCAAGTAATTTGATTGGCCGAGAGTCATTCCCTGAGTGCTGATAGAGTACAACAGCACTGGGACTTTTAACTACATGTATCACTCTGTTTCACAGGTGTTAACCATTAATCAGCATCACATTAACGGTCTTTATCTATCTTAGATTGTAGCAAGCTTTGCAAAGATGAAAATATTTCCAGAAAAAAACATTTGAATTAAATGATGTCTGGTTGAAGGATGAAGGGAAGAAGCCTTGATACTTCAGTGCATGTAACGTGTAGACAAAGTAGCCTGTTGCTGCTTATTAAACTAATATGGCACCTGTAGAACTGTCGTATAAAAGCAATATCACGAGAGGGAGTGGTGAACTGAATATCAGCACGGCTGTGATTCGGTCGTAGGTACTTGGCCGACTAACAAAAGACAATATTATCAAAACAAATTAATTAAAGTAAAACAAACTCAAAACTGATAAATAAATGATAACAAACAACCAACAAACAAACTTGCAAATATCTCCTACAGTAGTGGAGCAGAAAACATGGAAATACTCATGTAAAGTACAAGTAGGGTAGATAGATAGATAGATACTTTATCCCCTAAGGGGAATTCATGTGTCCATTCGCTCATTGTTGATAATAATAAAAACAATTAGTAATAAATAAATAATTATAACTATATTTGTCCACTTCCTGTGGCTGAGGTGTTCTACAGCCTGATGGCAGTGGGAACAAAGGATCTCCTGAACCTCTCTGTTCTGCAGTGAGATGAGACGTTTGCTGCTGTAGCTGCTTCTCTGTCCTGCCAGAATGTTGTGGAGAGGATCGTTGGTATTGTCCAAAATGGCCTCCATCTTACATTTCATGCATCTCTCCACAACAGTCCTGAGTGAGTCCAGACTCCTGCCAAGCACAGACCCAGCCTTTTTGACCAGCTTGTCCAGTCTCTTTGTGTTCATGTCGGACATGCTGCCGCCCCAGCAGACTGCAGCATAAAAGAGTACATGTCTACCACTGACTGATAAAACATGTGCAGCATTTCACTGCAGACGTCAAAGGACCTGAGCCTCCTGAGGAAAAAGATCCGGCTCTGCCCCTTCAGGTAGATGGCGTCTGTCTTCAGGGACCAGTCCAGTTTACTGTTCAGGTCCACACCTAGGTATTTATAAGTGCACACCCACCACCTCATTGTCCTTCCCTGGGATGTTGACTGGCTGAAGGGTGGGCCTAGGGTACAAGCTGAAAAACCAGACATTCATATATAATGACCTGATAAATGCTAATTTATGCATAAATACTCATGATTTCTAATGAATCTAAGTCATCTTTTAGGCTATTAATAAATAGACCTGCATTACCCGGTGTCGTCAGACTACATTCAGAGGTGGTCTGGGCCACATATGAAAGATTTGCATAAATACCAATATTTCGTGTTATGTCGACATTAAGATGCATGTTAACAACTGTAATGCGGCAGGCACATTTTAATTTGTTGACACACAAACACCAGTCTCAGCCAACAGGTTGTTCCTTTCTCATTCAGCAGGGCTGTAGCACAGGGATTACATCAGGCTGAGCTATGACTCCTGCAGTTACCTTTATCATGATGCTGCAATGTTTATCCCATTCAATATATCAGTATCAGCTATTTCCAAATCTGTCTTCTTGTAGTGATACCAGGCCGACCACTAGGTGTCACTGTGCACATTCACACGTTAGATCCATCTCCACTGATGATGCGGTCATGTTTAGGTTCTGAGCAGCGAGCTGCATCTGCATCACTGTGTTACTCCAGAGGAAACAGCAGGTTTCCACCATCCGCTGTTACCTGTGGTTCATAGAGATGTTATTAAAAACATGATGACCGTCAGATCACCACTGTAATCAACAATGTTTAAGAGGGATTTTGTCTGAAATACTCTCAGCTCAGTTCAGCTGGTTCATTAAAGGTCCCTCATTAGTGTTAACGCCTCAGGTTTTGTGTTAACACCAACAAGCTTTACCTGTTACCACTCATTTCAATGTCGTCTAAACACAACAAATCTCTAACATGCTGGTGTGCAAGCAAAAGTGTCCAGGGCCACAATTAAGGACCCTTATCACATCCTCTGTACAAGCAGAACTAGGAACTCACACCAAATCACGTGAGCTGGTTTTGTTCAGTACATCTGAAAATTTTAAAAAGCCCATAGGGGATTTGGTTTGTCTGGAACAAAGAGTTTTTTTCCCATTTCTTTATTTCAAAAAATTACACATAATCAAAAATACAAATAACCACAACAAAAATACATCAAAATACATATGCCTTGAATGAGACAATAATAATAATGATAACATAAAATACATAGTAGTTTATAAAATAAAATAAAATAAAATATGAATAAAATGCCAGAGGTAAAGAAGAATAAATAGAAAGTGACTTAATGAAAACATGTCTTAATACACAGCTCAATTTCCTTGTTGAAAACATGAAAATGAGGTTTCATTTTAGCAAAATTACATTTATGAATGTAAAACTTAAAACTTTGCAAAAATATATAATTCGATTGATTAGAAAATATTTCTTTTCATATTTTGTTTTGATCCTTAAGAAACCAAAAAATACATTTTCCAATAGAAGCTCAAAGCTACAGGACAAACCTTCAGACATCTTGCTACAGTTTACAGGTATGTATACACTCCCAAAACAGACGTTCTACAGTCTCAGTATGACAACCGCAGGAAGTAGAGCTTATGTCAGTATCATTTCTGAATGTAACAGAAAGAGATCTAACTGGGTGACATCGGTGAATGATTTGAAATGAAACCTTGACCTTATTGACCAAAAACATTTTTATTCTTTTTTCCAGCATAAATTGTTTACACAACTTTTCAAAAAAAAGCTTTACTAGGTGAAACAGAAACAATACCACATAGAAAGCTTAAAGCTCACTTTTCAAACTGGTGAGTCAGCTGCATCAGTAGAAGGAACATCGAGAACATAGATACACCAGATGGAACAGGATCAAAGACTATGGCAAACTGTTCAGGAGTTACGGGTGGTTTGTCTGGAACACGCCGAGGACTAGACCCAGTCTGAGTTGTTTTAATTTCTTCTTCCTCCTCTTTTAATTTGGCACAGGAAGTGCATTGCTGCCTCCTGCCGATTAAAAACAACAACACACGTGCTCTTAACAGAAATTATGCGCGTGTTTATTTGCATGTAGAGACACTGTAACCCACTGCCAGGTGTGAACAGCAGCAGTTCCTGATCCAGACCAGGCTCTGAGTCCACATCCCTCTCAGTCTGTTCCCCTGGTGACTTTATTTAAACCCTTTTGGGTGATGACATTTCTCATACGTATCTCATAGAGTCCTTAAACGGTGGTGTCCATGGCAACCAACATCGCACAATGCAAAATTTAACCTTTGATAAAATATAAAGTCTTTAGTCACACATCACTAACGATCAGCTGTGGCAGCAAATGATGATGTGTGTGAAACTGCTGTGCAGGGTTAAGACAGGGTACAGTCACTGGACACACAGATGAAAGACGACACAGTCACAAACCTCTCAGTGCATCAGTGTTTATTGTCTTTACACAAACAGTCATATAAGAAGTGAATAAAATACAGTGTAATATTGAAAATATATAATTTACATCTGGTAACATGATGGTTGAACATAAGTTAACAGGACTAAACATCAGTGTTGGAAGTCAGTGTTCGACAGTGTTGTTCTTCCATAAGCCAGCTCTGTCCTCCTCTAATGATTCCCACATTGTACTGTCACACACAGTATGTTCACTTTAATGTAATCTTCATAAAATATCATTAATATTGTTCAACATACATGAATATACAGTGTTAATGAATATGTCCCCGGAGTTACTGAGTTAACAAGTTGTCTGTGGCAGTTTCAAGTCGCTGTGAAGTCCAGAGTCACAGGTTTAATATTTAAGTCTTGGTAAAAATACTGAGTGAGTTTCTGTATGCACACTGTGTCTTTCATGTAAACGTGTGTATGTGTGTGTGTGTGTGTGTGTGTGTGTGTGTGAGTGTGTCCTTTGTCTGCAGCTCTGCAGCATGAGCAGCCCAAACCTCAGCTGATTCAAACTGTATCTGTTGGCATGGAAACAAAGAGTCAAGGATTTGTCAGTCTGAGTCAAGAGGCTGAAGAACAAATGACGTCACGAGTCGTTGGTGTTGAGGTCAAAGTCCAGTCGTTGGTCTTTTTTGATGTTGTCAAGTCTGAAGTCAGTCTTCAGGTTCCCGACTCGAGTTGGATTCAGAGTCCAAGTCGTGCGACTCGAGTCCAGTCCTGCAGTTCAGACCACATGACTCTGTCACTGAACACAAACAGTGAGTGTGGTTCCGACATGTATTCATCATTTTCAGGTTTAAACTGTGATTTCTGTGACCATCAATACAGACTCTATTATATATTTAGCAGCCAGAGAAGTCATTCCATAGAACATGTTTACTATGAATGAGATCAGTTCTACTTCACAGGTGAGGCCTTTCACTATAGTAACAAACTAAACATGCATAGAGCTTAACAGTGAACAGAGATGTTCATTTACTGCTGCCACAGTAACTGCTCCATGTGCAGAACCAAGCAACAACAATGTAAATGTGACAACAGTTAAACAGAGCTGACCCCATCAGCTGTATCTGTTCTCTGCACATCAACTCTGACACTTCTTACATGAGCACAAAACAAGGCTTTCTACATCACAACATACCTACTGCATGACCATGAGAATATTGATTCTACTTTGTCAAAAATAAGTTTTTGCATAGATTTTAAAATGTCTAAAATGAATGGAAACCACTTGCTGCCCGGAATGAAGAGAGAGACTCTGTATGGCTGAAGGAGGAAGAGGAGAAGCAGATAGTTTTTTTTCTGTATAGCACAGAGTTCATGAAGCTGCAACTGTGACTGTGTTCTTCTTTTTGTGTTGTCAGTCATGAGACGAACAAGGGATCACTCCATGTCCCTGATGTCCCAGATAAACGACAGAGGAAAGTCCTTCATCTCTTTGTGGAAGACCTTGTCGAACTTCTCGTTCTGGGCCACAGTGAAGTGGTTCTTCCAGTCCCCGATGGTCCCTGATACAGAACATGGAGGGAGAAGGAGAAGGTTGTAGTCATGAATAAACAGGTTACTGTTCTTCAACCTGTCCTACAGTCATAACCCTGGTCTCCTTTGAAAGGTGACTTTAAGTTTTACAACCAAACGGTCAGAATGAGTAGATACTGAAGCACAGTGGTGCTGATCTTACTAGACTCTGGGGGGGTCTCACATGCAGACTATTAGCAGACGCAAGAATTTACAGATGTCCCCTAAACGCCTCACATGCAGGCAATGGGTAGACACTGGCTATAGCACACATCATCAGGGGCCCCTCAGCAGTGCTCTGTATAGTGTCTTAATGGAAGGTTTAAGGGGGTTTATAGCTGTCACTGTAAAATGTGCCAATATGAGGAGCCATCAGGGGGCCCTTTTTCCCCTAGGGGCCCCAAGCATTTGCCTGGTTTGCCTCTCCTGACAGTGCACCTCTGCTGAACCAGAGTTACAGAGGTAGCTTTTTTGCCTTGCCTATTTGTTTGGGAATATAATGGCTTGCAATTAAACCCTCTGTGTGGAAAACACTTCCTGTATGTAGGAGTATTTGTGTTTTCCTCACACAACAACACAACAAACCACCGAACACTCAAAAGTGTTACAGCTGCAATACTGTTGAAAACTCAGCACCAGAGTCATTGCTGAGTGGTGTGTGGGTGGTGCAGTAGGTGGTGGAGGGGGTCAGAGACCTGAGGTTTGATTCACAGGAGCAGTACATCCAGTTCACTCATATGTTCCAACAAACAGCTGTCTCACTGTGTATGTGTAGGCTGCGGTCGAAAAGTCTAAATAATCTCCTCTGTAACCACCTCTCCTCCACCTCGATGGAAAACGTCCTGAGGTCAAGGAGAGCTGTGAAGGAGAATTCATAAAGACTTAGGAAAAACCTGACTGCACTTACTCTAGGATTTTTTATTTAAACTAACTTTATTTATAACACTTGGACGATAAATCCCCCTTTCCTAACCACTAACACAAAACAAACAGGATTGAAATGTTTAAAAACAAGATAAATGAAAGAAATATACAAAAGTTGAGCCATTAAAATAATAATTAAATAGAAATGAGGAACTGAGCAAGAGACCAGAATAAATTATATTCAGACAAGTTTATATTTTACTGGCATAGGAGCTTTTGATATTTCTATACATTTCTTAAGTAGAGAAAATTTATTTTTAGTTCATTTCACAATGGGAGGAGATTTAGTGAAACAACATTTATGTATAAGCTGTAGTATTTTGATATGATGATTTGTAACTATAAATACAATCTGCTTGTTCTTCATGATGACTAACTAATAACTGGATTTAAAGAGAATACATTTATATATATGGATCTGGGCTTCAGTCGATCAGACAGAGATCTCCATCAGTTCTGGATCGTGTCACAAACATAAAACAGCTGCCCTGATGTTTCTACATTAATGTGTCTCTGCTGTGGTCAAACTGCAACAGTGCATCACTTTAAATGTTGCTGCAGCAAGGAATTGTACGACGGCATTTTCTCCTTCCATTTCATAAAGGAAGGTCCAGTGTTTCCTAGTCTAAAGGAGATAAGATAGGAAGCACTGAAGCTCCTTTCCTCATCATGTAGAGAAGTGGAGCAGCTCTGATCATGATGCTGCTCAGATAAAGACTGGAAAAGACTTTTCGACCGCAGCCTAACAATCAGTTGTGTTTTCAGTTGTGATACTAGTGACTCCTAGTGGTCGCTCAAGGTGCGTGCGGAGTGGGACTGGGTGGAAACGCATGAACCTCTCACACATCACACCTTCCCAGTGAAGCCCAGCACTGAAAGCCTGGTGAGTTCTTATGGATTTGGTTGGTTTGGGTTGCCATGCATAACCAAACCGTCTTTTATATTACCAATGGCTCACACTGTATGTGAAAGGTATCACTCATAGTGATGAACCCACAGAGAATTATCACACATCCACTTCACTAACTGATTGTTACATATAGAGTCTCAAGATGTATGGTGTCCAGCGGGTCCCAGCACTCTAATGAAGCCTCCTACAAAACACTCACATTAGATAGAATTTGGAGGGGAGAGGTCCCCGAACTTGTACATGACTTTAACTGAAGCACATGAGGAGCGATATTAAGCCTCCAGGAATCCTGACCATCAGCAGATTCATTATAATTCTGTGCCATTTTTGGCAGAGTGTTGCCAGAACCTGCAACCGGTTTTGTTGCTGAATGACATTTCCTCACCTAATGTCCCTGAATGTCAGAAACGTGAAGTACTTGCAGGTTTAACAGCTGCTAAGAAAATGCTTGTAATGAGTTAGAATCCCCCCCACACACTCTGACCATAACACAGTGGGTTTTTACTTTTCTTGACATTATTTATATGGAGTTCTCAACGGCTTGTAGAAATGGGGCTAAAGAGGCGAACGTGAATATGTGGCTCTCAGCAGCTGCTGCAATGAAAGGACTTTTGTGATTTCTGTATTTCTTATGATCTCTTGTCTGCTACATACTTGACCCACATCCAATCCATCATCCTTGGCCATCTAATAGATCCATATAATGTGTTCCACGGGTCAGAGGGAGGGTTTTTTTTCTCCCTATCTATCTTATTATATTCGTTTTTTTTGTTTGTTTTGTGGATGGGGTGGTTATAATGTTCCACTTTGTTCACTGGCCTCTACATCATTATGTGTATGCCCTTATTTGGTAAAATGGAAAATAAAAACATTTGACAGCAAAAAAAAAAGAACTTTATAGCAAAAGCTGCCTGAGAGTGACCGCTGGACTCAGATTCATCATGCGGATACAAACCTGACTCCAAGTGAATGATCATGTTGCTCTGTGTCTGCTGCATGTGTGAACAGGTAACCGTCTGCTGACAGGTTTGTATCATATCTTTAAGACGATAATGTGTCAGTGTTGTGTCTACAGCTTGTTTCTGCTGCCCTCAAGTGGCCAAAAGTGGGTTACTGCAGATTTACAGCCTCTGCGTGTAGCATCAGACTCTGGTGTTCAAAGGTTCAGTATGTGGTGGTGACATTTTTTAAAAATTAAAAACCATCAGAATAATTCTACACACAACAGTTTAAACATAAGCTCAGCAAAGCTCTAAGATTGAGTCTCACCCCGGCTGTTCAGTCTGCCTCTTGCTACACACCTTATATGAAGAGGCTGTGTTATCAGACCAAATGTTTCCAAAGCTGTTTACAGTGTTAGGATCTAATATCAGTATATAGTTGTTTAACATATTTAATAATTTAATTAATTAATTCTGTGGGTTGACAATTGAACCTCTTGGGTATATTTACAGTCAGGTAGAGGTTGACTTCCTATTTGCACCTGAAGCAGTAAAGACTCTTACCTTTCCTCATGAACCTGCCCTGGTGATGGTTGAGCAAATCACCTGGCACCTGCTCGTAGTTGGCCTGAGGGATCTTCTTCATGTTCTTGAAGGTGCTGTGTTTCACCACGTTGGCCAGCTGCTCGTCAGTCAGCTCTTTCCCCAGGAACGAGGAGATCCTCTCCACTGCAGACTGCAGGTCCTGAGCAACAACACAGTACCATGGACGATCTATTTCTAAGGCACACTGATGCTACAACAGACGATATGACCGGACGTGGTGAGACGGAGATGATTTGAGTCATACCTGGATCATTTCTTCATACGTGATGAACAACATGTTCATATCATCCTTGTGAGAGAACCAGGTCTTAACGTGATCAAACCAGCTGCACCCAAACACTGCAATGAACAGAGCACAATGTCAGTGCCACACGTCAGACACTCATCATGAAAACGTATTATTCTGTGAAAGACAGCTGCTCTCACCGTCTCCTCTCATGAACTTCTCAAAGAACTCGTCGAAATCCTTCGGCGTCTCCAACATGTTTGCGAGTTTATGGAAGTAGAAGTAAGACACAAGGACATCTTTGGGATTTCTTGCCACATAGATCACCTAAAGAAAGGAGGTCAAACCTGGACATCAACGGAGTACAACTGTATCCTGTTCACTGGGGACTAACTGACTCTTATAACTGCCTTGCTGGATTTAAGCAACATTATCAGTGTATCGGCCTATAACTGTGTGTTCGTGCCACAACCCTGTTGGGGCCCGAAATTGGCCTCTCAGTGTTAATGAGATGATTTGGGCGTGTACCATTTCCTGCAGCTACAGGGCAGGAAGTCACAAGACCAATTACAACAAACATGAGGGGAACACAGGATAAAGAGAGAGCAACACAACAAAGTGAACCCACTGAACATCAGGGGGTTTGTGTTGTTGCTGGAGCAGCAGGGTCTTAGAACAGCAGTCGCAGCCCAACACTGTGATCCAGAACAAGCAGCAACCGCTGAGGAGGTTTCCGTGTAGTATACTGTTGATGTTAACGAAGCCCAGAGGACGAATCAGAGCCTCCATTGGGACAAAATTTCCACTCTGCATGAGGTTGGGTATCGTTCTCAAGGCTGACACAACACATTCTGTGTATTGTACTTAAAAAACAATCAGTGACTTATTTTGGGAAAGAAGCTGTTTCAGGTGTTGCTTCACCTGTGTGGTCACTGTGAAGGATGTAGTCTGAGCTGATGTTAAACTGTCTTACTTCATACACAGAGATGTTTCTGTTGTTTAGCCTGCCCTCATAATTAGTGTACATTCAGGCAGTTCATTTTTTCCTTTTAAAACAAAAACAAAAAACGAAAAAAAAACCCCCACTGTATTTCTGTAACTTTCGTTTTGAACCAAAAATGTAAAAACCTTTTTCTTGTCAGAATTAAAAAATGGAAAAACAACAACGTCCCATTGGAAGAAACAGTCCAATTCTGTTTTTGCATATTCCTTTTTTTTTAGTAGTAAAGGTAAATATTTCAAAATAAAAGCTAAGAGGGTAGCGTTGGTATGCTATAAACGTAAAATTATGCCAGAACAAACAGACAGATTGTTTGTCAGAGAAGAAGCCATCACACTGTGGGGTTCAATCCAGAATATCTATGAATTTGAATTTTTTTCTTTGAGGTCTGGTCCTTTTTGGTTGCATTAATTATTCATCCTATCTATACTGGCTGTAGAACGATTTCTAAACAATTTCAAAGTAAGTGATGGGGACATGGTTCAGCTGAAACTAATATGAGTTTTCATATCTTCCACAGTTATTAACTATCCCTCCACAGTCAGTGGAAACAGAAAGAGAACATTTGGTTCTAAACAGAGGAAGTTGGGGAGATGCTGGTTTGATGCGGACTGCTGGACTTTCATGTGAACTCAGATGGAACAGGGACTGTACATTCTGATCTAGCTTGTGAGTATATGAGTGTTGTTCTTAGGCAAACTTAAAAAGATATGAATTTGTCCTTTAATATGTGACACATATTGTGAAGACAGGAAGTTGACCAACTGATGGAAGACCAGCGATAAACTGTCTGCCTCAAAGAGAAAAGCATGAAGGACATTAGTGATACAGCTTAATGAGATTTCTGTTGGCAGCACTCTAAGTCGCCTATTTAGTCTTTATAATCAGTAATAAAGATGTGATAACTTAGTTTTTAATGCAGCTGTAATCTGATCTAAGTGTTACTGTGTGATGATGAACAACAATATAGTAAAACACAGCTGGAACCATATAAAATATGAAGAACAAAAACTAAATATTGATAAACATTCAAAGGTCCCATATAGTATAAAGGTAGATGTCCATGTGTTGTTTGATTATAAATCTGTATTGCCTATATTCAGAAACTAAGCCTTAAAACCAGCCGTTAGGACTTCTGGAACTTTGTGATGTCACAACAAAGCAGTCACCGCTCTCAGTCATGCCCCAAGCCCCGCCCACCTGGACCCACCCTGCAACCTTGCAGGATTTGGTTTCTCTGAGTGTTTTCCTGAAATCTGCTTTATTTTTATCTGATCACTCAGAAAACAGAGGCTCAGAGCCTCCTCTCTTCTGATTGGTTCACCACCCTGTTGTTACTAGAGCTCCAGAGAGAAGATGAGAGAAGATGAGAGGAAATGTAAAACCACACTGAGATGGTTTTTGGTTCTTAAAACTACAAATATATCTTCTAATGGATCAACGCTTCAAATAAAACACAGGAGAAAAGGAGAATATGGAGCTTTAAAATACCCTTATATCTGCTTTCAACTGCATGAGTATATGTTTATATACTGCTCATGAATGCTAAATAGAGGAACCTAAAGTAAAATCTTTAGGTTTAGGTGTAGGTGAGATACAGTTGTTTAAAGAGCTGACCTTGCCCCTCTGGCTCAGAGCAGGAGGCATGAACTGGTGCTGCAGGTGGGTGACCCTCAGTCTGGGTGACGGGGCCGTGATGAACGCCTGTCTGTTGCCGTTCACTTCGATCCAGGGGATGAGATCTGCGTTGGAGAACTTATTGAGCTTGCTGATGGCCGTCACATCTCCTTTCATCTCCAGGAGCAGCAGGATCTGCTGCATCCAGATGGTCCCTGTCAGACAGAGCAGACAGGCCTCATTTCCATCCCCCAGACTCTGTGTGTACAATGGCAGCAATTAGGTCAGCCTGGTGTATGAGCACACCTCTCCTCTCCGCTCTGAGGACCTTTGTCCTGATTTCTCTTGGAGTGTTTTCACAATACTCACTTGTCTAGCTGATGGTTTGATACCCTGCTCTCTGCTGAAATCAATTTGTTACACACAAAATAGCAGGACATTCATCTGGAAATGCTGTACATACTAATCAGCCTTGTTCCTTCCTCTATGCTGAGAGCGCCACAAACCGCACTGACCTTTAGTGCACTCCCACTGCGTGACACTGGACACAACAGTGTATGTGATGGAGCCTGCAGCAAAGCCTGGTGCCTCCTCTGTGTGTGTGCAACACGAGTCTTCCATCTCTATGTTCCTCTCACCTGATTTCGGGTATGTGACGACAAACACGTCAGAGTCTCTGATCTCCAGGTTGTAAATCTGGTCCACATCCTCCGGATCATGAGTCCCGCTGATCAGCTTGAAGCCTTTGTGCGGCACCAGTTCGTGGTTGTGAGTCTTGGCATCATTTAAATCCATGATAACTGAAGCACAACAGAAGCACAGGTGTGTTTTCTTTACCTGTCTCTTCTCTAGTGAAAGCACAGCAGCACTTTGTTAATACAGCTTAACTGATTCCTGTGTTTACATTGGTCTCAGTTCATCTACAGTCACCAGCAGAAACACTAACACTAACTAATCACTAACGTGTCTTGAGTTTCAGTCAACTGACTTTCCCAGTTTCAACAGCAGAAATAAAGTCACACTGTAGAGCGCGCACACAACTAGTCTGTCCGCGTGCCTCTATCAACATGTTTCCTACCTGCTCTGTTCGCTCCTCTGTCCGACTGGAGGAACCACGTCCAGTGTGTCTGATATGATCTCACTGCCACCAGCAGGAAACACCTTATATGAACCCAGATCAGTGCCAGAGCTGCGGAGGCCGGAGGTCCCTCCTCTTTTCCTCTTCTCAACGCTGGAGATGCGCGTGGAACGCGCGTTTTTACGCACTGTCAAGAAAAGCAGCTCCGAGTCCAACGCGCCCTCAGCAAACAGAGTGATGACGGAGGAGAGGAGGAAAGGAAGGAAGGAAGGAAGGAAGGAAGGAAGGAAGGAAGGAAGGAAGGAAGGAAGGAGGTCACTCAGTCAGCGGCGCAGTGGGTCAAGTGATTAGCGCGGGAGATGAAGTGACTGTAGCGCTGTCCCAGCTGAGACCGCCACAGGGAACCGATACAGGAAAAAGCTCAAACTGCTTATGCAACATCAAAACCAAAACAAGGTTCTGATGTTGCATAAGCAGCACTTTAGAGAGAAGTATGCAGAACATACACACACTCACCAGAACAAACAGTCCAGAGGCTGAACCCCTGAACCGGTTCACCTCACATGAACCACAGAGCCTCAAACTGTCCGCACTCTGCTTTGGTCCTGGACTGTTGATCCAGCACTGAGACTGTGTCACTGTTAGCATCGTTAAAAATCCACTGGGGGTTTGGTAAGAAAACTGATGAATTTTAGCCTCTGCTCAAATAACCCGGATTTTATATTTCCCATAATGCATTAATGTCTGATACATCTGTCAGACTCCACACCCCCCAGTTTAATCAGGCTGTTATCAATTTGTCCAAGCTGAATTAATCCCAATGACATCACTAAGACATCATCAGGGTCATTTTCTCAGACTTCACGGATGACATCATAGCCCTGTTTTCATTGGTTGAAAATGAATAAATTGGTGGACTGTCCCTTTAATTGCAGTTGATGTAATTAATGATTCTTTTTTTAATTACACACTGAATCTGTCCAAACAGTTCAACACAGTCACCAAATACAAAAGCATTAGTGTTTCACCGGCCCCACGTCAGTCGAGGCTCATCTGGCAGCAGGATCAGCTTTCGCACATCTGGACCGTGGGACTGTGAGGGGGCAACAGTTTATGTCAAGACCGCGTACAGGTTCTGGACTGGACTGCAGGTCCACAAACCTCCCACAGTGTTTGAAAACCGTTTGTTCTGTTCACATCTACAGCTGTGACCTCACACCGTCCGTTGCCTGACTGTCGGTAAAAACGTGTCAGTCGTCCTGTGTTAATTAACTTATTCAAAATCCACTTTCTAGTTTCTTCTGCATCTTTTAACAGCAACTAACAATCTTCAGAGGCAAATGATGACGAGGCAAATGATGACAATGGTGATGAAACCAGACTGTTTTTGTCTTTTTTTAAAAGGTGATGAGCAAACTTTCATGTTTCCATTCACGAGGTTAATAATATAGAAATAGTCATTAAACGCAGCCCTGATCATCATGATGCAGGTTGTGTCAGAGGCTGAGTGACTGAGCAGTTGCCTGATACAACTTCCATGACGTGTAGTCTCACCTCAGGCTCACTGTAGTTGAGCTTGACGAACAGACACACTCATTAAACATGTGATAAGTGCAGTGAAAGAGCTCCTCTGCTCGGGCAGCCTCAAGGTTCCTGTTTTATTTTAGAAAACATGTCGTAACTCTTCATGAAGCACAGCAGGAGGCCCCTTCACTTACAGCCACTCATCACACTGTGGTTACACACACATGACCTCTGTTCAACCTGTCATGTGACTCCTACAGCTGACAGAGCCTGAGTGATGATGTAGCTGTGCACAGGAGGTCAATTACTTACGTTGACAAATATTTGATGTTTTCATTTGTGCTTATTTTTAGCTCAAATATATATCCGCTTGTTGACGATGTGTAAGGTATATGACTGGACGCATGGAGAGAAAATAGTTTATTTAAAACATTTAAAAAGTACAAAATGACAGCATTAAATAAAAGAGGTAAATCAGATGTGTTCACAGTAAAAGCAGAAGTGTGTTTCTGTTCACGGGATCCGCTCAGCACACAACATCCCGGAGTTCAAGATGCTCCTCTGAAAGAACAAACACAGTGAGCCGATACACAGATAAACAGCATTTATTTACACTCTAAAACTGCGGGGTTAAAGGTAAGCCAATCTCAGCTGTTTTGGTAACCCAGTGATGGGTCAAAAAGGGGGACTGACCCAGCCATGGGGTGTTTTAACCCAGCAGGGTTGGGTTACAGGTGTGACCCGCAGCATGTTGGGTTATGTTCTCTTCCCCAAAAATGGGTAAAAATGTTGTTGAATTTAAAGCCACCAAGAAGTGGAATGAAAAAATAAAACACCCCAAATTCTGGGTTCTCTCTATCACTGGGATTTAAATGACTTATTTAATGTCAGTTAACTTCTTCTTCTTCTTCTTCTTGAAACAAGCACATAATGTCCCAGCCATTCTTTTATTGCTACAACCAAAAAGTTAGCCATGTATAAGTTCCAATACATTTAAAATCTATAAAATTTTATAAAATTAATTTCAAATTGATGTTTCTCATCATCTTTCTTTTGGTGGCCTAAAACCGTGTAAAAATGTTGGACTGTGAAGAACGATACAGCCCGTGATTTTGGGATGCATCTTCAACCCATCGTGCTGGCTCACTATATTTAACTTAATGTTAGAACCCAGCAGCTGGGTTATTAAAACAACCCAGCATTTATAGTGTGTATCCAAACTTCACTGAACCTCTAATTCAAAGATTAGAGACCTTCAACCAGGTCTTTGTTTAGTGACTCGTGATGACGTCACAGTGAAGGAGCATCGCTGCAGGACTAACGATCAACCTGAAGCATCTAACGGGCCAGTTTCACCTTTAATCCGACTTCACTCCGACCCTCAGCAGGTGTGTCACCCGTCTCACCTGTTTCTCCTCCGCAGTCAACACCCCCTGCACAGCCACCACCTGGTACTGTTTGTGCTTCAGGCTGCCGGGGAACTTCCTGACGTGGCGGACGGCTGTGGAGACGGTGTTCCTGCTCATCAGCTTCCTGGTGTCTGATGCCGAGGAGCCAGGATCCAGAACCAGGAGGCACAGGTTCCCGTTTTTCTTCTGCTCCAAGCCCACAATAGAGCGGCTGTGACCTGCAGGAGGACACAGGGTGAGGAGAGGGAGACCAGGCAGAGGAGAGGAGAGGGGGACAACGACGCTGGATGAGAACTAGGTCTTGCGAGGTGATTTCCGACTTTGTTGGAAGGCAGATGTGATTCAAGCTGTTCTGAACAGAGACACTTGAAGGGATGTAGAATGAAAAGCCGGCTGTCATAGACGGGGGAGACGCAATATTGTTTAAATATGGAGGTAACAGTTCACACACACACCGTCCTGCTGCTGTAAATACACTCTACAGCACCAAATGTGGATTATTCCGCTGCTGAAAATAGTCCCCAACAGAGTCAGTTTCCTCCTGTTTGTTTGATAAAAACTGCAGGAGCCTGTTTAACATGAGGAGGAGTTAAAGAACTGTGCTGACAGCTCTGTCACACTGCACCGAGTCATGACATGCTGTTATTCTTCAGGCCTCACAACAAACAAACATATATCTATACACTCAACCTGTATATGAACACTATAATGATCACGTCCTGAGGTGACCACAGTATTTATCTGCGGTTCAGCTGCCGTGTGGTCTCTCTAACGAAGCCCTTCTTAAAGCCTCTCACTCACTGTGGTGAAATCTGTCTACTGCACATTTCACACTTCACTGAGCTCCTCTGACACATGGTGTCTGGGACAGTGTCTAATGAAGAGAGATGAGTTGGTGGAAAAGTTCCCTATTTGTTCCATCAGCTTGTGGACACATTGTCCTCAATTACTTCCTGTGAATCAGGGATAATCTATAAAAGTAACAGCCCACACAGGTTTATTATTAACAGCAGCAAATACAAGTACTCTTTCACAGATGGTACAATGGCACTTCAGTCACTGTGCTATGTTCAGTATGTTGACCTCTCACCCTAAAACCCTGTTTTTAATCCTAACCCCAGCCAGGAGGTGCACCCAGCATTTGATTATCACCATAAAACTGTCTGATTGAAGAATAAGTTCCTCAACTCTCCTCAGAGTGAACGTCTCTGTACAACACACACACACACAGATGTAGGTGGAATCAGCAAGAACAAACATAAGAGTGAAAAATGTGGAACTGATCCCCGCCTCTCCTGCTCTCCACACTCAGTGTTTACATGTACTGAAATAACCCGACTCTTGCAGAAACTTGATGTCAGACATGTCAATGTAAACAGGAAACCTGACCTCTGTTATCAGGAGAAGGGATTAGAGAGATTTGCTGAAGGCAGACCTGATTACCTGGCCTTTAACACGCTTCCCAGGTTTCTGAAAATGTTGTAAAGGATCTGTTTGGAGAAGAGCCAAAGCAGTGGAGAGGGAGAGAGGAAAGATCACTATCTGACTGGTAGTTCTGCAGCAGCAGGCCTGAAATGATTGAGTCTCACACTAAAACTGTATTAAAGGAGAAATAAAGAAATTCATTTAGCTGGAGAACTGATGAGAGACAGTTGTCAAAATAACAGTCCGAACTGAAGCAGCAGAGGTTTTACTCCTTTGTGTGGGTCAAGCTTCAAAAACACTGGATCCTTCATTTCCCAAGATGCAACTCAGTTGGATCTTGTCATTAGACCCTCACGGCATAGTAATCACTCACATCCTTCAAACTCCACACAGCAGCTCTGGTGTAAGTGAATGAGCTGAGACGGTTCTGTCACCTGTCTCCAGGTCAACGTTAGGTCGACTCTGATTGGCCACAAAGAGAACTGAGGAAGCTACATCTGATGAAGACTGTGTGACATGATCAAAAGCTCCAGGACAAGAAATAAATGGACCGACTACAGGGGAAAACCCAGATCTCCTCGAAGGTGGAACATGGACTGAAGCAAAAATACAGTTCTAGCTAGAACTACAAGCTGGACGAGTTATTATCCACTGACCTCTCCAGAGCAATGAAGCTAATGTAGCAAAAAAACAATAGACCATACTGCACCTTGTTGCAGTACAACTCAGTTCAGGTTAATGTTCTCTTCAGTTCAGGTTAATGTTCTCTTCAGTTCAGGTTAATGTTCTCTTCAG